TAGAGAGAGAGAGAGAGAGAGAGAGAGAGGGGGAGAGAGAATGGATCCTGTCAGCCCACGGGTTAACAACTACAGTATCAGGTAACATCCCAAATTGAATTTGCGTTGATTTGACGGTTATGACTCATTTTGTATTTAGAGTTTTATTTTTTTTAGAAATTTAAATTATTTGAAATTTTAGGCGTTCATTCTTCTCATCGAGGTGCTTCTAATAAAAATATTAAAAGAATAATTCGTAAAATATAAATTTATCTTAATACGCTGAGACGTTTTGGGGGTATTTTGATCAATTTATTTTTTTACATTTTATTATTGTTATACTTTTATTAGATTCTTCTATTTTTAAAGAATAGACACTAAAAATTTTGAGTAATTTTGATTAATTAAAAAAAAAAATTTAAATATAAAATGAGGTCATGACCATTGGATCGAGCTTATATTCAATTTGAGCCGTTGGTTGACACTGTTAGCACGTAGGCTGAAAGGATCCATTCCTCTATATATGCATTTATATCCAATGCGAAGAGGTTGGTTGCTATGTTCAAGAGATTACCTCCCCAAAATTCAGGTTAACAAAAATATCCTTATCTTGAGTTTTTGTTGAAGAGCAAATGGACAGTATGCTGCAGTGGGAGCATCAAATTCTTTCACCTTTTAGATCCTCATTGTTTGTAGTTATGTTTGATATGGAATGTTTCATCGCTCTTATGACCATATAACAATATAACTGTTGCCATTTTCCTTCCACGGTGAATCATTTTAACACCCGGCTTTTTGTTGTGTTCTTATCAAGGTCGTTAAGTACTGGGCAGAAAAAGGCGTATCTGGATTCACTGTCTACAAGTATCGCCTGAAACGACTTGAAGGGCAGCCTGAGTTAACGACTAAGCAGGTCTTTGAAGTCCTATAGCGGGAGACTGCTGTTTCTAATTTTAAAACTACTTTGGGTTTAATTTTCTTGGCTTATAAAATGCGCAGTTCTTGCATGAAGTGCATGAAAAATGAAAAATTTCCTTGTAGTTCATGTGTAATTGCATTGAACTTGTGTCCATCTTGGTTCACCCTTAGTTGCTGATGGTCAGATGTGGGGTTATCACTATTGTATCCTTGTATTATGTCGGGAATTTTCATGTTCAAGATACTTTCAGTTCTCAAGTATTCATTTCTTTTTCTGATGTTCCATGGCAGGTTCATTTCACTCGAGCTCAACCCCCAAAGAGTATTTCAGAGCTGCGAGGGTATTAGTGTAGTGTGGTGCTATAAACTGCTCTTTCATTAACTAGTTTGGCTGCAATTTCGAAAAAGAAGAAAATATAAATAAAATTGCTGCACTGATGTATTTTCATTCATCAACATAAGGTTGGTCTGCGAGGATATCAGTGGACGCCAGGAGAACTTTCAAATTCCTGCAACCAATGAGGTTGATCCCCCACTCGCTCCCTCTGGTTAGTAAAACTGTTTCTATTGCTTTGAATTTATAAGGGTTATGAAGTGTAATCCACTGAGTTACTCGGACTCGGGAGGATGCTGGCTCCTACTGTTAGTAGGAAATCTTGAGATCTAGCCAAGTCTCACCAGTCTACGAGGCTTATTCATTATTTCTTTTAGGAGTTTCCTGGGTCAGACACAGACTCCGCCGAGTCTGACTCACTGACACGTACCAGACCTTGCTTGGTTTAAGGCCTGAGTCCGAGTTTAAAAACATTGTATTGTTGGTTTTCTGAAGTAGCTTTTATTGTTTTACATGTCCTGGTTGCTTATTTTTTGTTTTCTGAAGTAGCCTTTTTGTTTTTTTACATATGACATTAAGTCCCATATACTAGACTTTAATATGTTGTTAGATTTGCTTTTCTGAAGTAGCTTTTTATGTTATTGGATTTGCTATGCTTGAGCTAATTGGCCTATTAGACCTGAGCCGCTAAACCAAAGCCTGATGTAAGCTCGAAATTTGGGAATTTTTAAGTGAAAAAGAAACAGAAATTTCTACATTATTAGCTCTTGGGTCAAAACTCCTTAAAAATCGTATATAAATGTATTTATTTGACAACAACTTTTGTAGATAAGCCATATTTATCCTATGGAAAAACCTAGAGAAGAATGGTTGAACAAGATTAGCCAACCTCCAAATAGTTGGGATGACACTCGGATGATGACGATAAATAAGCCTAGAAAAGTATATAAAAGAAAGCCACTAAAAAATGATTCTTTTTTAGGAGTAGAGAATATAAAGTGATTATAGACCATTCATTTTATAAAAATAGAATGTTGTTAGATTGAGGCACTGGGGGATTTGTTCGAGTCCTAATTTTGAAAATGTTCTTATAATAACCAAATGAACAATTTAAAAACAAAAAAAAGTCATTTTGAATTCTTAGAAGCTTACATCTAAAATTGATGATTGACGTTCACAAAATTTCTTTCCTGAAGAAATCCATTTTTCAGGAAGTTTTAAATTTTTTATGAGATTGTCGACTGGGTTCATGACAGATTGCACAAAATATGGGGTCAAATCCTTTTTTTAGTACCGATATCATGTCACCTTGTCTTTATAATATAATGAAACCAGACTTTTTGAAAACCATGTTTGAAGTATTTGTATGGCCCAAAATTGCCCAAAATTGCACACACTCTCTTGATCTAAATAGTCAATCTAAAAAAAATAAAAAAATTACACCCTATATATGGTCAAAATGAGTCACTTCCAACAATGAATCTAGATCGTCTATTTGGTGAATTTCAAGGTCTAGGCCTTTATAAATTCAAAATCAAAATTTTCTTTTTTGATAATAAAGTTATACTAAAAAATTTCGAAAGAAAAAAGATCCTTCGATAGCCTAGATCTAAGTATCTCACCAAAATGGACGGCCTATGTTAATTAGGTTAAAAAACATTTTCTAGGTTGTGTATTCAAATTTTTTTTTTTGTGATGGTTCATTAAAATGAAAAGAATGTATATTTTTAAATCACGGTCAAACAAATGGGCCTAACATGGTTTTTGAAGGTTGTTTTTTTATATTACTAGTCAACCAACGCATGAAATCACTCCTCGTATATATTATATATTATAATATATTTATCTATGTTATATATATGTTTGTGTGTGAAAAGATCCTGTCTGCCTATGAGCTGATGGAATTGTGTAAGCCCAACAATCTGGACCGATCTGATGGTCACGACCATATTTCGTTTTTAAATTTTAATTTTTTTTCTTCAAATCCAAATCACATGAAATTTGAGGCTTCACTCTTCTCATCAAGGCGCACCTGATAAAAATATTGAAAATCTTATTCGCAAAAAATAAATTGACCAAAATACCTTTTAAATTTCTAGGGGTTTTTTATTCTATTTAAATTTTTTGAATAAATTCTTTTGATATTTTTATTAGATTCGCCTATGTTTTAAGAGTTGACGCAAGTCATTTGAATTTGCAGAAGAAATTAAAATTAAAATAAATTGTGACTATTGGTTCGCCCATATCCAATATGGGTCATTGGGCGTTTATTGTAGCTGTCAGCTCGCGCGTTGATCTCAAACTCTCCCTATATATATATATATATATGTTATGTTGGTGTACTTATGCGTATGAGTGTTTCTTTAATATGCTCAACATATTGGGACAATCATTGCCCCTTTTTTTGTAATATAAATTTTTGAGTAAGGGCATTTTTTTCCATTATGAGGGGTAAGATAGATATTTCTATAAGAAACTATGGCATTTTATTAATAGTTCAGTGGATGATGTCATCCTCCATTGTAGTTGGCAAATGCTTTTTTTTTATCAATAATTTCTACTTTATCATTGATTAATTACTTAAAATACCCCTAGGCAAAAAGTTACTACATTATAGGGTAATGATATAAAGTGTCTAAAAATGTTAATCTTATGGAAATACTCAAATGTATGAGTACCATAACATA